ATTTACTGCGCTAATAATAATAAAAAAAATAAACATTAATATTTTATTAGCCTCATCCCAGAGATGCACAGAAAAAGTTTATAATGAAGCTAAAACTTAAAAAAAAGCTTAGCTGCCAATTGTATTTTGAAATAAAAATGTCATAAATACTTAACTTTAACATTTAAAAATGTAAAGTATGGTGTTTTATTATAAGCGCTAAGGTTAGATTAACTTCTATTTCTGAGATTATTAAAAAGATTAAGAAAATAAGTATACATTTCTCAAAAAATTTAAATATTATTTAAAAAAATTAATAGCTGCTAAGATAATTCTCATATCTATTAATGAAAACAAGTGGGATTAAAACAAAGTAAAATTCCATATATATGGTATACCAAATATAGCTATGACTTCAGCAGAAGTAATTTTTAAATTTAACATTTAAATCCAAATTGGTGTGTGATTTAAAAACATTTTAAAAAAAGGGAGAACTGATTCATTTAAAAATGTACCAGCTGTTATTATTCTGTTGTGTTAGTTAAATAGAATCATCCTCATATAAATATCAATGTTTAAGTGCAATTTCAGATTGAAAAATAAAACAAATATTTTAAGTAAACCTAAATTTATATGTTCTGCAAAGTTAGGGGGTAGTAATCATTAGTATTTCATAACTTTGAAATAAATTTTCCATACATTTCACAAAAACAGAAAATTAGAAAGTGGATACGATCAAATTTAGGACACATGCATGTTATAAAATGCTCAAATAAGTCCTGGGAAATTAAAAACTCACTGACTGTTCTCCTTTCCCCTTCAACGTATGTCCTTTTTAAAAACCAACAATGGGCCTGATCATACCTGGGAAGCATAAAAATGTCCAACATTCACTGAACTTTCAGGAGAGATTTAATTAACCCTTCCAATTTTTCACTCTCTTGACTGAGCACCTATTGATGTTGACAGGCATACAAAATAAGTTCTTGAAGCAGGCAGCAAGTAACTCACAATAGTTGTCTCTGTTCTGCAATTCACAACTAATTTAAACCTGCTGCGGGATAAATCCGATCTGTTTTACATGGATGAAGTCTAATTAAAAAACAATGTTAAATTATACAAATTAAGATATGTTTATTGAAAAGAACAAACCCAGATAGAGTAGTGTTTCAGAGTAAATACTGATAGAGGCCATCTATATTTAGATAGTAGTATAGTATATACCTTAAAATTCAAGTTATTATTACAATTTTTTTTAACTATACCAGATATAAGACACAATTTCTTTTATGATACATTTAAATCTTTTTTCTAGCTAGTAAGTTCAATTTTCAAAAAATAAATTGAGGGCAGGAAAATCATTTGGACAAGATTCATACTAAATCTAGCTTCTTAAAAACTTTTATTTAAATGTTATTATTGTTTCAATGTACTCGTTATCTATCAAAAAGGACTATAATCTTTAAAGGCTGCATTTTAGTCAATATTAACAAGTTCTTGATCCTTAAAGGGTTCAAGCCGATTATAAATTATTTCTAATCCCAGTGAGTCAAATGCTTAGATTTCATCCATTTTACTTTAACCCTTTTTTTAAAAAAATAGTCAGTATCTTCTAAATAAAAGCCCTAAATGTATTAATTATATGAGATGTTTGCTACACTGAAACCTTTATCTTCTTTAAATATATTAATCTTACTTAATGAAGAGGTAATACATTTTTCAAGAATAATATTTAAGGAAATAAAAATGACATGCAATTGTTTAAATCAATACTATTTCAGCAAAATAATAAAACAAATTAAAAATTATAGTCATGTAATTAATTCATTGCTAGCAACAACCAAATAAAATATCCAACAAAAACAATCTTCTACAATCATTCCATAACTTATAATATAGATAGGGTTATAATCAGTAGTATAGAATACAAAAAATCAAACTAGACCCTAATGCAGGCCTAATAAAGTCAATCAATTGGTAAAACTAAATTTATTTATAAAAATGTTATCGCAAATTTTTAATTATTTTTCAAAATTTACAAATATAATAAATGCTGCAATTGTATTAAAATTAAATTATAGCTCTTTAATACTTATGACAGGAAATATGACAATCAATAGACTTCCGATGCCCTCAAAGGTGTTACTAAAAAATTCTGGTGGCATAACGTCTGAATCTTCAATAACAGTTGTTTCCAAATGTTCAACTTTCAAGAGATGCAATCTGTAGGATCATAAAGCATTGAACATATTGTTCATTTGGATATTTAAAAATAAAAACATGGCCACCTATGGCCCGCACTCACATTATCAGTAAACAGATTTTAATTCCAATCCTCTGAACTCAAATCAATGTGTGTTATGAAAAAATTCAATAATGTTTCTTATGTGAGCTATGATGAGAGGAAAAGAAAAGAAGGCCACCCACACACAGGGTATCTAGCAATTACTTTTGCTATATTTGGTCTTCCCCTCACTGTCCAAATGGAAATCGATACTTACAGTAATTAATGTTCAGAAAGTTCACCCTCTAGCTTTCATCATCTAGTAATTATATTATAATTTAAGATGTTTTTAGTTGATGAAATAAAAAAATATTGACCTCAAAACTACAACTACTTTTATACTAGATAGTAAAATTATTATTTAGGCGACTGTACAATTGCTAAAGGCAACTAATGATTTTTCACATAGAAAAAATAAATAAAAATAGAAGCGTATATTCGGGTGTTGGGAACAGTGGATGTTTGAACCCTGAATGCAGTTTAGTTATCTTCTACTTACCCCCCATCGTGTGGTGGGTAGTGTTGATCAATAGGTTAGTGTTGCTTCAGATAGAAAATTTTAATGGATCATGCCCCTCCCAGTGGTGTGCACAGAGATTTGGGGCAGTTATGTTTTTTGATCTTCAAGAAAAACTTAACTTGTGAGAAAAAACACATAAATATAGCAGGAGTTCAACCTTACCACTCATTCACAATGTCCCTACTTCTACAGCTAAATTATTTTGCTACAGCTACATTTTATTGAGAGTATTCAAACAGAAAACACCAACACTACAGGGTTAGTGTAATTTTAAGAAACAGAAATCATATAATTTAATAATTCAGTATTTAAAAATAAAAACAATAATGTGATACTATAAAATTCAGTCAGATAAGCTGTAACATACAGAAGTTATAGTTAATCTGACAAAATATTTCCTTGTACAAATTAATTAGCTCCTCCATTAATAAATATTACCTACTTTCGAATATTTTTTACATTTCCCAATGAATATATTTTGAATTACCAATTAAAGTAACATGTTTCTACTGACATGATATCTTTTAGATGTCCTAAAAAGTCATATTGCATAAGTGCAAGCAAAAAATTCCACCCATTTGATTTTTTCATGTTTTCATCTAAAAATATTTCTGCTTTGGATTGGTCTATTGTTTTTAATGAATAAATAGGTAATCTTTTTGTTTGTTTTCAATTAGGAATGTTAATATAGAGGACAATAACCCTTAATCCTTAATTCAATGAAATGATTCTAGATTCCAATGTTTACTTTCTATGGAATCAAAATGTTTATTCAGTATCATTAGTTCAGTGCCGTTTCTTGCAGCACATTTCTTAGTCTCCGGCTTTTAATTTTTTCAATATTAAGTTTAAAAATGCCTCTTAGTGCTGAGGATGTTGCGCGTGGTGTGGCACTTATTGATGATGGACGTTCCATTAGATATGCAGCTAATGCCATCGGAGTTCCATATGAAACTTTACGAGACGCCGTCAGGCGTTTTCAGGAAACTGGTTCTTACAATAGAAGGCCCGGTTCTGGACGGCCTAGGGTAACAGAACCACGGGATGACCGGTTTTTGACTTTGAGAATTTTACGAAACCGGCACCTTACCGTTGTTCAAGCGATTCATCAGCTCGAAGAAGTTCGAGGTGTGCAAATTTCTGAACGTACCGCTCGGAGAAGATTAAATGAGTATGGATTAATGGCTTTTCGTCCAGTAAGAGGACCAGAGTTGACCAGAACTCACAGAGTAACACGGCTGGCTTTTGCTCGAGAACACAGCCATTGGACTATGGACGAATGGAGTGCTGTACTTTTTACAGATGAGTCAAGATTCGCTCTTCGATCTCCAGACGGGCGTGAAAGGGTGTGGAGAAGAAGAAACGAAAGATATGCAGCCTGTAATTTTTCCCAGAGCCATCCTTTCCAACGTGGTTCCTTAATGGTGTTCTCGAGCAAAAGCCAGCCATGTTACTCTGTGAGTTCTGGTCATCTCTGGTTCTCTTACTGGACGAAAAGCCATTAATCCATAATCATTTAATCTTCTCCAAGCGGTATGTTCAGAAATTTGCACACCTCGAACTCGAGCTGATGAATCGCTTGAACAACGGTAAGGTGCCAGTTTCGTAAAATTCTCAAAGTCAAAAACCGGTCATCCTGTGGTTCTGTTACCCTAGGCTGTCCAGAACTGGGCCTTCTATTGTAAGAACCAGTCTCGTAAAGTTTTATACGGAACTCCGTTGGCATTAGCTGCATATCTAATGGAACGTCCAATGCCACACCACGCGCAACATCCTCAGCATTAAGATACATTTTTAAACTTAATATTGAAAAAATTAAAAGCCGGAGACTAAGAAATGTGCTGCAAGAAACGGCACTGAACTAATGATACTGAATAAACATTTTGATTCCATAGAAAGTAAACATTGGAATCTAGAATCATTTCATTGAATTAAGGATTAAGGGTTATTATCCTCCATATTAACATTCCTAATTGAAAAGAAACAAAAAGATTACCTATTTATTCATTAAAAACAATAGACCAATTCAAAGCAGAAATATTTTTAGATGAAAACATGAAAAAATCAAGTGGGTGGAATTTTTTGCCTGTCAGTGTAGATATAAGAAATGTATATCACGAAATAAGCCTGCATACTTTCACTCATTCAAATACAGCAGAGGGTTTATACTCTACTACAAAGTCAATTTCAGAAATATATTGTTGGAAAAATTCTTACCCGCAAACTCTGTGAAATGATTTCCAATATCATAAGCCTGGTAATTACAACCAGCATACTCATAATCTATGAAAGTAACTTTTCCTTGGTCGTGTATAATGTTTGCGAGCAGAAGATCATTATGACAAAACACCACTTTACATGAAGAATGACTCAATTTCTCTTCAAAAGATAATGCTTCTGAATATAAGGGCTCAATACCATCAGGAAATTTCTCAGCATATCTACAGAAAAACAAATTAAAACTAATTATATGTTATCATTTATTAAGAAATTATTTTCCTGAGGCAATTATTAAAAGTTGAATTAATACACATAGTTTTAAATAAAATGGAGTAATAAATATTTAAGAGCTTATAGTTAAAGATTTTAAAATATATTTTACTTGATCAGTCTTAATAAAAAAAAAAAACTATAATAATTAGGATTAAGTAATAAAATCTCAGATCAGAACTTTAATTTATACAGACCATAATTAAATACAATAACTTTTGGTGAGAAAACATTTATTTTTTAATTTAAAAAATAAACAGAATAATGCTTTTTTTTCAGTTAGTTACAGTTTTTGTCAGACTTGCTTTGAAATTAAATAATTCAAAGCAGGAGATTGTATGTTTTAACCCCTAAAAATCATTTTAATCAATTAGTTTATATAAAATACTTCATATTATCTAAAACCATTCAATATTTGTTTCCTAATTAATCAACTCCAACAAGACAAATAAATTTATTGGGACTGTTTTATGTGAAACACCAGGTAGAGTTAAATCATATATACTCTGAGAATATTTCAATTACTTGATCATAAGCTCAGTCTGGCCTGAGACGCCCTGGTGTGTACATCGGTGTAATTCGTTCATATAATAGACTCAGTTTACTTTAATTTAATTTTCAGTTCAGTTTTTTTTCTTCTCTTTTTTAAAAAAACACTATTATTAATCACGCTATAAAGTGTCTGATCTCCACAATAATCGGAGTAAAGAAAGCGCAGCGAGATTAATAGAGTTCTGGGAGCAACGAGCTGGCAGGCATCTACTAATCCTAACAGCATTAGACCAGCATTAGACGTTGTTTACTACCGTCAACAGTCTTGGTATTTATTTATATTTCAATTGCGAAGTAATTCTCATTAATAAATTTAAAAAATGGTGCAGTGTAATATTTGCAACAACTCTATCGCACGCGAAGATAAGAACAATATACACTGCGTTAAGTGTAAAATAATTTTTCATGGTAGGTGCGTCAACCTTACTGATAAAGACACCGAAGCATTAAAAATAAATAAAAAAACATGGGTTTGCTCTAACTGCGAACAGGTGAAAAAACAAAATACCGAGCCGTCCCCCTCAGAAATACTTGCGGCAGTAAATCGTTTAGACGCTACCGTGAACGAAGATATAAAAAACATGAAAACAGCACTAGATAAATACGGAGAGCTCAGTTTTGAACTAAACGAAAGACTGACGAAGATTGAAAAACATCTGGAAGGTCAAGCTAAAAAGTTTGAGGAGAAATTATTAGAAAACAAAGCACTCAAATCCCGAGTGGGCGAATTAGAGGTTCGCTTGAATAACGCAGAGCAAGGACAATTGAGTAGATCACTGGAGATCCGCGGTATACCGGAGCGACCGGGCGAAACGCCCGCTGCTTTGGTGACCAGTATAGGAGCAAGCTTGGGGATCAGGCTTAGTGTGGAGGACCTGGACAACGTACATCGCCGCAGAAGCCGAAAAGATGACTCGCGACCACCGCCTGTTATCGCACGTTTTGTCAGGCAATCAATTAGAGATGATTTAATTACGAAAAGGAAAGTGAAGAGGGTTTTCTCCACGCGGGATATCGGTTCGCAGGAAAATGACTGCCACCGAATTTATCTGGGTGAAGAGATGACTCACACAAACAGACACCTCTATTGGCTAGCCCGGCAGAAAAGAGCGGCGGGAAAAATCAAATATACGTGGTTTGCTTCCGGAAAGGTGCGGTGTCGAAAAGAGGACGGACATAGAGTCATCCTGATAGAATAGGCCTCGGATCTAGATGTATTTGACTGACTACCTAGAAGCCGTCAACCCCTTAGCCTCATTAAAATAGTCTTACTTCTTCTCTTAGTGCTATCTCTACACCGTCACTCATCAATCTATTTATTTTCAAGTACATTCTCTTTATTTATTTTTAATGTTAATATTACTTTTTCTTCACTTAGTTTCATGTACGATAATCGCTTTTCTGTACTTTCTACTCGTTTTGTCTTCTCGCTACCAAACACTGACTGTTTCTCTCCAAATCCACTGTATGTCTAGTTCCCTAATCACATGTCAAGTTAACTCTCAATCACTTTCTGCCCATTATGACGAATTCCTGCAATACTTTACCCAAACCTTTTATCATATCATAGCAATATCCGAAACCTGGCTCAAACCTTATATTCCATCATCTTCAGTCTCCTTGCCTAATTACATCCTGCTCCGTCATGACCGGGTAAACCGGACTGGCGGTGGAGTAGCTATGTTTGTCCACAATAGCCTAAAGACCCGAATCCTCGATTGCTCCCCATCTTCCGATCATCCTCATGTACAATAACTCTTAGTAGAAATTCTCAGTAATATTTCTCCTATCCTTTACGCCGTGGTATATCGCCCTCCTCTCGTGCCATTTGACTCGTGCCATTCAACTTCGTTCCCCAATTTCCTCTCAAAATCCAATGACAAATCCTATTTAGAAAATCTGTTTTTCTCACTTCACCTATTCATCGTTCCTTTTTCCTCCACCCACCACACCAGCAGATCTAACACTTGGCTAGACTACTACATCATCGACTCAGCACAAAACCTCCTCTCCGCCTCTCAATTGCCAGTATCCTTTCTTTCATCTCATGATCTGATACAAATAACGTATAATATCCGCACTCCTCCAATCCATCCTCGAACTATCACTTTCCGCCAACTGGATACCCTTACTCGAGAAACAATATTACCTGATCTAGTAACATTGGATTTGAATGGAATATATCATTGCTCCTCTGTCGACACCATGGTTGATATTCTCAACACCAATCTTCTCAATATACTCAATACCCACGCTCCTCTCAAAACCTCCACTTTCCGTCATCGTCCTGCTCCTTGGATGTGTCAGGAAATTAAGAATCTGCAGAAGAGACGCGACGCTGCACGCAGACGCTTCAGACGGACTAGGCTTGCAGATGATTATCAAATATTCAGAGTGCTTCGTAACACGACACAGATAAGGATCCGACAAGCGAAAGCGAAATACTTTCACGAAGCCCTTTCCTCAGCTCCTGATATCAAATCAAAATGGCTTCTACTTCGTAAGCTTTCCCTCTGTGAACCTTCTAGATCCCCTTCCTCAGTTTTCCCAATATCACCTGATGACCTAAACTCCCACTTTATATCGGTTTCCACCTCTTCTTTACCATCCCCTTCCGGTTTTTCTCCAGAGGTACCTATTAACGACAATAATTTTTATTTTTCCGACATTTCTCCCACAGACCTTATTACCGTTATAATGAAATCCCGTTCCAATTCCGTAGGCCCAGATGGCATTCCTATCAAACTAATAAAATTATGTCTCCCTGAAATCCTCCCAGCACTCCTTTTCATCTACAATTTCTCCCTGCAGAATTCAATATTCCCGACCTCTTGGAAAAAAGCCATTGTCCTTCCTTTAAACAAAAAGCCTAATCCATCCTCTCCCGAAGATTTCCGCCCAATATCAATCCTTTCCAATCTTTCTAAACCCCTAGAAAAGTTAGTGCAATCCCAAGTTTCCAACTACCTTGAACAATCCAACCAACTCGATCCTCTCCAATCTGGCTTCCGTCCTGGCTACTCTACACAATCTGCTCTGATTAAAATTACTAGTGATATCCAGACTGCAATAGATGACAAAAAACTAACCATACTTATACTGCTTGATTTCTCCAAAGCTTTCGATTCCATTATCCATTCCATCCTTTTCAACAAACTAAAATCATTATCCTTCTCCAATAGTTCCATCTCTTGGTTCCAGTCTTACCTCTCACAACGAACCCAAGCAGTTTCCATACCTAATCAACCTCTATCTGCCTACCTTCCTTTATCCTCAGGAGTTGCACAGGGTTCAAGCATGTCTCCTCTTCTTTTCAGTTCTTATATTAATGACTTAAATGATTCAATTATCCATTGTTCCCACCACCTTTATGCCGACGATTCTCAAATCTATTTATCCTTTTCTCCCGCTGAGTTATTGGTGGCATTTGCCAAAATTCAAGAAGATTTAGATCGAATTAGTCATGGCCAACTTAGAAATGGATTACGGCTAAATGCTGCCAAAACTCAGGCCATTCTCATTGGTTCCAAGCCCCTTCTTAGATCCCACACCAACTTTCCCTCACTCTATCTAAACAACCACCCCATCACCTTCTATCCCTTTGTTAAAAATTTAGGCTTTCTCATAGATCAAACCCTTTCCTGGAATCACCATATCTCTCATATATCCCGCCGTGCAATTTCTACCCTCAAACTATTCCATCACTTCCGCCATCTTCTACCCCAAAATACCCGTAGACTCCTAGTTTCCTCTCTCATCTTTCCCCACTTTGACTACAGCTGTGTGGTGTACGATGGCCTCTCGGTGGAACTGCGTGATAGACTCAAAAGACTTATGAATTGCTTCGTAAGATTTGTAATTGGAACCCCGAGACGCTCCCGTGTCTCCCACCACTACACTGAGTTAGGGTGGCTCTTCCCCTCCTTAAGAAGACAATATTTCCTTGGCACTTTCCTTTATCAAATCATTACCGATCATCGTCCTTCTTATGCCTACAACCTTCTCCAATTTAAGTCCTCAATCCATTCACTCACTACAAGATCCCGACCCTCTGACCTATACATCCCTTCTCATAGATCTGCCTCATTCCAAAATTCCTTTATAGCCCGCTCTGTCAACTTTTGGAATTCCCTCCCGATCAAAATTCGACATGCCCCTTCCCTGTATACATTCAAAAACCTCCTATTCCAATTCCTGTTCCAAAAACAGTCTGATACCAGCTAACCATTAATATTATATATGTATTGTGTAGCAATCATATAATCATAACACTTGGTAAGAGATAGTACATGCATTTCCTACTATCGACGTAGGAATTTCAATACATACATTTTTTTTTTATTTTTTTTTTTATTCAATTATAAGTAACTGTTTATTTTTATATATATATATTCAAGTAAAGTTTTTTTTTTTGTTTTTTTTTTATGAAATGAACTCATTGTATCTCTTTTTCGTTCTTCATTTCTCAAAGTGTATGTTTATGTTGTTCAACCCTTAAATATAATTTTGTTCATAGTTCAAGTGATTCGTTCATAGTTTTAATTGTTTTGTTCATAATTTTAAATGCTCTGTACATAGTTTTATCTGTATTGTATATAGCTTGTGCACCTAAGGTTTTCTTTACTTTTTATTTTATTTTATCAATTTTATTTATTGTTTCAACATTCAGGCCAGTAATATTCTATTATTTTGTACATTATTGTTATTCTGAAGGGACTTAGTCCCAGAATAAAGTTTTTTTTTCTATCTAATTGTATTAATATAACTGATTAAAGAAAATGATCCTTTAAATAATAAAAAAACCCTAAGGTAATGGGAATTTTGCTTCTAGATATTTTTTATCAATGAATATCTTTCTAATTAAAAGAATAAACACAAACACTAAATTTACAATCTAATAACAATTCTGGGCATAGAATATAGTTTGGCCTGAATACTTTTCTCATGGCCAAACAGATGATTCATGTTTAACATACTCCATAAATCAGTATCAAGAAAAACAGCACTATTTAAAAAAAAACCGTGAATCTTCAGAAGCTACAATAACTGAAATGTGAGAATATGTTTCAATTGTTAAATAATTAAACATTTGAAATTCATACAATTAATTTTCTTTTCAAAATTATGGTAAAATCATTTCAGAAATAACTTTTTTATTTTTCAGAAAATTACATGCATTTATAAGCTAAGCAATGTTTGTAATAAACAATAAAAAAATATATAAAAATGAGGTACGTCTTCAAGATTATTTTTTATAAAGTGCCTGAAAAATAATAATGATGTTGAGAATACAAGATTCAAATGTAAGAAATATTTCATAACTCTAAATGACAATAAATGAGTGAGTTAAAAAATAGATATTACATGAAACCCCAAGCCTTCACTGTGTGTTAGCCATACATGTAGAATCAATAATAAAAAGAAACAGCAATCAAAACTATAAAAGTAGAGCTGATACATTTTTCCTCAAATCATCCACTTGGTCATGAGAAGCATTTGATCTGATTTATAGTGGAGAGCCTGTATAGTGTTTCTAAAAATATTCAATGAGCCATTTACCATGAAAGATCTTACAGTATAAATTTAGGATGAAGAGAGATCAATTATTGACATTGTCAATACTTACTACGAAATGAGAAAATATTTATGTAAAGGGTCAGCGTTCAACATAAAACAATTTAATGAACATAGAAACAGCAAATGAGGATCATTTCATTGGAATCAGAACGATCCAGAGGAAAAATGATTTGGAAAAGAAAAAAAAATGAATAAAATATTTTTACTCTATTTTTCTTATTTACTGTTCTTCCACGCAAACTGCTTAATTTAACTTAAAATTGGAAGTTTAACATTAATAATATATAGCAATAAATTTCTTCAATAATTTATGATAAAATTAAGATAAGTGTCTCATGAGGTAGACGGCAGCGAATACAGCGGGAGATCTCAGAAATTCATCAAATGAAGTGAGATTCGACTAAATTAAAGGACTCATGTACTAGATCTTTCTTTTTTCATGTAATTTGAACATAGTTAAAGCCAAAATATGTTTCAATGGATTACAAAAATGTTGAAAAAGATTTGGACAAGAAGAAAATAACCAGAATCAAATTTGCTGAGGCAACACTGGGCACCAAGTAATGTTGAATGTCAAACAATTATAATAAAAAAAAAAAAAGCTGGCTTACAGGAAGATGATCCACAAATACCACACTAGGAATACAATAAAATGTATAAATATTGGAAGAAGAAACAATGAGAAATGAAATGACATTGGGGAAATCGGAGACTAAAGAATTGCCTTGATAAGTAAGCTATTCTTCCTGAATGTTAATACAAGAAAGGCCCATTTCAAGGCAAAACTTAATGTTATTAAGAGAAAAAAATAGAGAAGTAAGAGAAACAATTAAAACTCATACACTGGTAAAAGGTAAAGCTTCCGCTAGTAAAGAATTTTAATAAGAAATAATAAAGAAAGAAAAATCTGCCAAATAAACAAAAGTATGAATCAATTTCTTAAACCATAAAATGAAGTTTGAACACACACAAAATACTCACAAACGTTGATTTTCAGGATTTGAGTAGGTTTTTGGCACAAGTTTCAAATATTGCTTCAGCAAATGCCATAGTTGAGGTTTGCGAGAATCTTGATTATTAACTTTATGAACTTTTGCAAGCATAGTAGCAATAAGGGGGTAAATATGAGGAGCTCGAACAGTTTCCAACGTTAGAATTTCCCCATGAATATATTCATATGCTAATCCATTTCCAAAAATCGCATATAATTGGGGCGCATAGCCTGATTTTTGTAGTAACTGAAAATATAAAAACTTATCAAACATTTATAAATTTTAGATTAAATATTTATTCATCTAGATTACAAGTTAAAACAACTATTAATGACTAAATATTTGCAATAAATTATTAAAATAAATCTTTAAAAAAATTAATGCACACCTTAAAATTTCTTGTTTCAGCTTTTCTATCAATTATAAGATCAGTATTTTTTCCATAAATCCTGATTAAAACTATGTCTTTAGGATTTTTCTCACTCCAGCATCCAATAAGTTTGTTTGTTATGCCATCTGTAAATGTCTGAAAACATTAAATAGTTTTAAATCAATTATTTTAATGCTTTCCATTATCTTTCAAATCCAAGTAAAATGATAAATTATACAATTTGAGAGGCAGGAAAAAACAATCTAAAGGTCCATTTACATGGGTAAGTGATTTTTTTTTAAATAAAAAGTTTTAATCAAGAACTAGTAGTTAGTACATTTCTCCACGAGGTGTGCCAGGAACATAAGCTTACTTTGCAACTTACATTAAAAACCAACATATGAATCATAAGTTAGTTTCATTGGTATTTTATGGTTAACACTCGCTGCATTCATTTCTTGTTTATTATTTTTAATTAATTTCTTTAATTAATAATTTTGTTTTATTTCATTAAGCTTTAAAGTTTAGATATTAGTAAAGTTTAAATATTAAAAAAAAAAATTAAATAAGTTATTTTAATTGGTAATATACTGTTTCATAGCCTCAGAGCTTATACTATTTATACTTAGTATATACTGTTTCAAAGTTTATAGGGTCAATTGTTGTGGATTGTCGCCTTAGATACAAACAAGTTCTAGGTTCAAGTTTTAAGCCCATGGACTTTGTAAATACATAGTCTGGCTCTGTCCTATACTGAGCCAAGTGTTACCAACCGTTATACTGCCCATTGCAGTTCTTCTTGCACGAGTTATATATTCTTTCAATATGGACGGACTCTCTGCTGCCTATTTCCAGTCTTTTGTATAATATATGAGCACTCATTGGAAACCTACGTCAAGTCCCTGTGGAAGGACATGTGCCAGTATATAATGGGAAGAATGACCAATCTAGGTGGAAAAAGTTAATGATGAATTTTTTCAAATCCATCATAATAATAAACAACAGTAATGTGTAGTTAGAAGAAAATCATAAATTATTTTGATCTTAGATGGGCCCAGCTATAAATACAACCCTATAAACAATTATTGATTTTTTATTATTGTTATTGATTTTATTATAAAATTATTGATTTTGAACAACGGCTGATATGTTTAATTATTGTCTTATTTTTCATTTGAGCTCACTAACACTATTCAATTTTTTTTTTAAATAATAATTTTTATTTGATAGGTATGGATGCCCAATACTCAATTAAGTCATTCGCTAAATTCTCTTCTTCTTCCTCGGCCCTACAGTCCACGAGAGACCTGGATCTCCTTCACAATTCTTTGCCACTCTTCTCGATCTTCTGCGGCAGCTCTTCAGCACCTGACACCAAGTCGTCTCAAATCCACCTCTACGTCATCTATCCACAGGAGTGGTGGCCGGCCTCTTTACACTTGGCACCCTTTCCTCTGGCATCCTCTCCACATGGCCCAGCCATCTTATACGCCTTCATGAAGGTGACAATGTCTGCCTCTCCATATAGTGCAGCAAGCTCCTGTTTGTACTTGGCTCTCCAGACTCCTCTCTCACAAAAAGGCTCAGAAATCTTGCACAGGATCTTCCTCTCCCAGACTCCCACAGCATTCTTTCATGTTCAGCCGTCATTGTCCATGTTTCTTACTGACGTAAGTTACAACAGGACAAATCATGGTCTTGTACACAACTTCCCATGCCTTCCTTGACATACCACGGAATTTAAGTACCCGCTGAAGGACAAAATAGCATCTGTTTCCCACAGCTATTCTGGCACTAATTTCAGCCTTAATACTGTTATTACCTGTTATCAAGGAGACAAGGTACATAAACTCCCTGCATACTGAGAAATTATGAGCACCGATAATTATTGTTACAAAGTTCAGCAAGGGATGACGTCTGCTACTTTCATATAGGCAGTCTTCCTTTCGTTTAGGCGCAGACCCCTTACCACTGCTATCATCACAAACTCCTCTAGAGCTCCTGCCATTGCTGGAACGGATCTGGCCTCTCCAAGTCGTCTGCGTATGCAAGATGCTGTGTGAGGCGATTAAAGATTGTGCCTCCTGGGTTTGTCCTGATGTCCCCCAAAGCTTTTTCCAAGCTCATATTAAAAGGCATGGTTGCCTTTGTATCTCCTTGCAAGATTCCTGCCGTTATCTGGAACTCCTCGATAGTACCCCTTGCAGCTTCACACGGCATCTTGTGTCCCTCATTGTCATTCTTATCAGCCTGGCCAGTTTCCTTGAGACACCTAGGGATCAAAGACCTCTGAGCAGTGTTAATCGATCCACTGAGTTGTAGGCACGTTTGAAGTCCACGAAAAGATGATGCAGATCAACATCGTGTTCCAAAGACTTCTCCAGCACCTGGCACACTGTAAATATTTAGTCTATTGTGGACCTTCCTTTCCTAAAGCCACATTGGTACTACCTGACTTCTCTTTCCATGTGAGCAGTAAGTCTCTGGTTGATAGCAGTAGAATATACCTTGTATGCAACATTCAACAGAGAAATCCCTCTGTAGTTAGAGAAGCAGAGCTTGTCACCTTTCTTATATATGGGACAGATAACCACTAATTTCCAGTTCTCAGAGATTTCTTCTTCTGATCAGATGTCATATATGAGCTGGTAGAGCTGCTCCCATATTTCGTTCCCACCATATGGGAACGATCAGACATCAGACATCAGCAGCACCATATGGATATCTTTGTGCTGGAAGTGTGTGCTGCTTATCACCATGCTTCTCTCCATAGCAAAATCCACTAACCTAAATCCGTTATTATTAGTTACTTCGTGTTTGCTATTCAGCCCTTTCGTAGGTCTGTAGTATTCTTCTTTGCCTATCTTCGCATTGAATTCTCCAAGGATAACTTTCAAATCGTAGGTTCTTTCTAAAGCGTTGTAAAATGATGCATCCTTCGTTTCGTAGTAAACATCTTCAGTAGGGGCATACACACTGACCATAGAAACATTGAAAAACAATCCCCTCAGTCTTATTGTGCAGATATGTGGGTTGATGGGTTGTATTTCAGCAGGCAGTGTTTTAATTTATTATTTATCATAAACCCTGTACCAACTTGGTTCTGTTTATGTCAACTGTTAATAAGAAGGTAGTCCTTTAGGTTAACGAGTGTTGCTACATCTATTTTATAACTTAAGAGTTCTTCCTCAAGATTCATACTTGGTCCGATCTGGAGGAGGCTTCTTACGTTCTTATGTCCTAGAGTCAAGTGTTTTTTGTGTCCGCGCCTGGGTCATACCATTAAATCTGTCCAGCTATTTATTTGTGAAGGATTTATAAGAATGATTTTTTTACAGGGCCAGGTCATTAGCCCGATGTCTAACTACCAACCTGGAAACCAGGAGATTTTTTATCGAGGTTCTCTTCCTCTAGACTTGTTGTCTTCACTGCAACTGTGGAGTCACGTCTACCCCGAGCTAGTTTTGGTCCACCCTGGGTATATTATTTCTCTGGTACCACTCATATCTGAGAGGCATTCCACTATCCGCCCCCACCTGGAGACAGGCCCGATGGAGGACTAGCAACCCCTCACGGGCATTCGCTACATTACTAATTCATAATTTGATCTATTTACTTATTTATTTTTAACTTAATTACTTTATTGCATGCTCTCAAATAAAGTAATTTTATAACTTCAAAATTGATTTATTAGAATGTACCCTTGTGAACTTTTTTTCAGAAGTTACTAAGTAGGTATTAATTATATTAAAGAAAAATGAAAGAGTTGATTGCCTTTTGAGACATGATATTATTAAAAAAAAAAAGAATATATTACAAAAAGGGAATTATGGAAAATTCCTACTGATATGTAGCCTATAGTTAATGTTATTTAGCAATGATTAGAGTTGGAAAACATCTCTCAATTGCTGGGTTGTAAAGTTATCTTAAATTTGCAGTGGCAAAAATTAAAACAAAATGACAAAAATGTGGTAAAATTGTCTTTAAACATAATTTTTGGTTGTACAACAAAATAAAATTTGAGAGCTAGTGGTGAAGAAACTTCTCCAAATACTTCTTCTTTCACTATTGGTCGCCCTGTTTAATAATTAAAAGACTGCTATGGTTGAGGTAAGATCAATAAAATTAAAGATGTAATTGTTATGCGACACACAGAAGAAAATGAGTTCGCCACAAAAGTCTCAATTAAGTCGCCATGCCAACTGCAATTGAAGAATTGGATCAAACCTGAGCAGTATTTCAAATGAAATATTTTAAAATACAAAAAAAAAAAAAAAAAATTCCAGTAATTAGCATTATAAGAAGTAAAACATGCAATACATTGTTTTGAAACTGCTACCAATGTTTACTGTTTGAAAAAATTACAAAATAAAAAAATATATATTTTTTTCTATTTCATTATACTTTTTCTTTTCTTTTTTTCTGTTGGTATTACAGACCATGTTGATCTTTTGCAGCCTTAACAAGTCTGCTCCATCTCTTAGGCTATTTCTTTCCATTTATCTGCACACAGCTCTGTTCCATCTTTGTTGATTTTATCTATACATCTGCTTTTTGGCCATCCACGAGGTCTTTTGCCTTCTATTGAGGCATTCATTGTTACGAGAGGCTTCCAGATGGATTGCTACAAGCTACATTTCCTGCCCATCTTAACCTTCCTGCCTTCATATCGTGGGATATTGATTGACCAGTTTCTGTAAGCAGTTCTTTATTGGTCTTTCTTCTTCATGTCTTAGTACTCTGATCCCAGATCGCTCCGGTTATCGAGCAGAACATTTTCCTCTCAAATATTTCGTTATATTAAAATACAAAAAATATATTTTTTTTTTTTGTTTTAAAATGCACAAAATAAATTACCAAATTGAGCAGGTCCTTTTAAGTATTGTAGCATAACTGGTCATTTTCCTGAGAATTGTCCCATGTGAAAATCGAGCTTAGAAATTGTTTAAAGTTGATTGAGTTAAATTTATCATACAATTGTGTATGGGATTAAAATTGAATAGCTTAAAAAAATTATTAGACTCCAGGATCTTATCATAGGAAAGAGTGGAAGAATATGTTTCGTTAAATCAACAAGTAAATGAGGATCGATAGATGTTTAATTGGACAAATACTTGCTTTTTAATAATAATAATAATAATACTTTATTTATTCTG